GTGGGCTGTGTAAGTGTTGGGAAAAAAGGCTTCTGAGATGGGTACATGAGGGCATGCTCACTCTTGCATTTTTGGGGAAACAGCATCCTTTGAGACGGATGGCTGCTAGGAACGCCATGGCGTTTGTGGTTTCTTTTGTAGGAACAGTGTGTTTGCCCTCAATGTTGCTTGTTTTCTTACTAAGTCATTTCAGTGGTCAAAGGGAAAAGGTCACTGGGTGATGAAAAGGGATCTGGGAATAAATTGGAGTGGATTTCTTGCACTGGGAAGTGACACTTTTCCTTTGATGTTGGTTTTCAAAACTCGTATCTACCAGAAGAATGTAGCTTTGAAGCTGGCCACTCATAATGACCATGCTGGCTCTCTTTTTTTCTGAGGGCAGCCAGAGTCTGGATGTCCTACTGGTCCGAGTTGTTGCGTTTGCCATCTCAGGAAGGAAGCCCAAGCCTTGCACCCAAATAAATTGTGCAGATTAGCAAGTTTACATGCATCTCTTGCATGCCGTATACTAAATGTGCTAATTTAGCTTTGCTGTAAGCCGTATATTTCTGTTTCAGCTAAATGGACAATAGTTTTGGAATGACGGGGTTGTGGTTCAGGAGCTGTTTGGTGGTGATCCTTCTTCTCCTAGGTGTGCAGGAGAAAGGGCCCAAGGCCGCTGTTTCTCCCTCCTCCCTTCTGGCCCTCCTGCAGAGCTGAGGTTGTTCCAGGAATGAGCTGTTCTGTTTGCAAAGCACATTCCACACGGCCTCAACTCCTTTTTGGCAGGAGCGTTGGCCTGCTGTTTAAGTCAGAGCTAGGCCCAGTTTGACAATCTTCTTACAAAAGCTGAAGTGGGGTGGGGTGGGATGGAGGCAAAGCAGCTATTACAGATCCTCCTCAATTGTCAGCTTGTTCTGCTCTGACCCTTCAAAAGGCCTCCTGTCTCTGGGGGAACAAAGAGCCCTTCTCTAAGCATTTAGGCTGGACAGTTTTGTATGGGAAGAACTGGCATTGCCATTACTGTATCTCTTGAGTAGGGATAGCTAATGCATTTTTAATTTTTTTTTCCAGTTTATATCCCTTCCTTTCTATCTATTTCTCTTAGCTGGTTGTAGCATCCACCTGATGTTGATTGATCTCAGAAGAGAAGTGGGTTTATACTACTTCTTGGAGGGGAGGCCACAAGAGAATCCCAGGCTAGACTGGGGGGTTGAAGAAATATCCCATAAAAAGACTTTTTTTTTTTTAAGTCACACTTCTGTAATGCTACCAAGAAAGCTTCATAGATAGTCACTGAGTCACTGAGCTTGACTTGAAAGGGCCTTTACCTTTCCTCCTCTAGAGATTAATGATCTAAAATATAATATAAAAAACTGAAAGCCAATGAAAATAGCAAAAAATATTACTAGTCCAATTCAAAAGTTAGCTGGATAGGGAAGATGGTGACTGGGGGAGTAACAGCCCTTGAGGGAATACATTCTATAGCTTAGGAGGAGTTTGGATGGAGTCAAGCAGCATGAGATTGGTCACTGAGTCCTAGCAGCAAGGTAGGGTTGATATTACTACACTTTGCAAACCCAGCATGTATAAACATCATTGCTCAGCTTCAAATGTTTTTCAGCACAAGATTGAGCTGACCAGTCCTTTCTCACCAAGGGAAGAAATGAGAGAGGCTTTTTGCTGGTGACTATCTTGTATCAGTCACGCTAATACAGTCCTTTGGATATACTGATGTCAGCTCCTACAATTCTGAGCAGTGCCCATGCTGGGCTGGGGAATTCTGGGAGTGGAAGTCCATATACCTGGAGGAGGCAACTAGTACAGTATATCCTTTGGGGAAAGTCTGTCATCCAGATCTGTCTTCTGTGACCCGGTGCTCTTACGTTATTTGGAAAAAGGCTGAAGTAAGGCCAACTTACTACATAGCTACAGTTGTGTCATGCCCTTTTCCTCTTACGGGATATTCATAAGTGTGCAGGGAAGGAATCTGAAGGACCTTCCATCAAGTTTACTGGCCAGTTGCTGATCTGCTCAGCATTAACAAAGACGCTAATAGTCACTTCCGTGCCATTTTCTGTGCTGGATAAGACAACAGAATAAGAGGATATAAAGGACCTGTTATAACTGCAACATTTTAACTATTTAAATATTCATTCAGAGATGGTGGTCACTAATATGGCTAGCAGTGGTCATTGTAAGCTGTTATTATTCTTACCCCAATTTAGTTTTGAGGAAGGGTTTATAAAAAGGTTTTTTAATAGTGACTTGTTTGCCTATAAATTATGACCTACTTGCTTGCTTTTAAATTCCCTGTGGTCAGTTTTTTTAATGACATGGCCTGAACTGCCTAATATTACTGGATATTTGCAACCTTGAGAATATCTAGTTATATTAGATGAATACTATACCAGATTTTGCTAGGAGTCAAAGCAACTTTGAATGACCCAAGTAAAAAATAATGCATATAATGCTGAATGGATTAAGGTCATTATGTTATGTTCAGGGTAGCAGATATTTTGAAACTGAGAAAGAAAATGTACTGTATGTTTGTTAATTTAGAGACAGTATATGACAAGGCAGAAATATGGAAAGTTTTGCCCAATAGGGTGATTAACGTTGGCTGAATATGGTAAGAGTGTTTATGATGGAAGTAAAGCAGGGATTCTTAATCTTTTTATGTCATGGACCCCTTTGAGAGTCTGGTGAAATCTATGGACACTCTGAACAATGATAGTGTACATGGATAGAAAGATATGGAGTGGTATAGTAAATGGTGTTGGTGTAAACTAAATTGAGTTGGATTTCATTTTCTTTTATCTCCTACCTTTTGCTCACTATTTCTTACCCTTTTTCTGCACTTTGCATTATATTACTCACCCCACATGGGACTAGCATGATGGGTGGGTATGCTATGAGTATGCTATGTGAAATTTACTGTGGCCTGATAGTGTGGCCTTCCTGGTTTGAAGAAAAAAACCCCTGCTTCCTGTAATGATGGATGAAAATCTGGATTGTCATGGTGGATATGAATGTACCTATTTACTATGAATACAGGTGGTCCTTGACTTACAACGGCAATTGGGACCAGAATTTCTGTCACTAAGCGATGCAGTCATAAAGTGCAGCTGCATTGCTTAGTGATGGCGATCCCTGTAGTCCCGGTTGCCATCATTAACCAAATCCCACAGTCGTTAGGCAAGGCAACTTCCTATTGGCTTCCCACAACCAAAATCAGTGGGGAAGCCAGCAAGAAGTTGTAAGTCCCAGGCTGGCAGGCAGGTAAGTGGCTGCTGCCGAGTGGGTGAGGGAGCGAGGGGATGTGTAAGAAGCATGGGTTGGGGAGGGTGGGCGTTGGTTGGTGGGTGCGTGACAGGCATGGTGTGGGTTCGGAAGGGTGCACGAGGGTGCTGGCTGGGGAATTCTGGGGGTTGAAGTCTACACGACCTAAAGTTGCTGAAGTTGAGAAACTGGATTAGTTGAATAGATGACAACATCCTTCCTTAAGAGGATTTCTGGTACCAGAGGAAACATCACCCTTTCCTGAGTGACTTTGGGGCTGTCTTCCATTTGATTCTTAATTTTCTTTTCCCTAATTCTAACTGATTGGCCTTTGAAGATCACCTTGCATGTGTTCCAGCTCTTTCAGGATTAAGAGTTTTGGAGTATTCAAGGATTTGGTCATGACGAATGTTTTTCAGTCAACCTGGCAATATTGCTTTATGTTCAGAACAAACCGGCTCATGAAGGTGTATGTTTTCACTTTGCAGAGTTGGAGGCCATCTGGTTAATCCCCTTAACCAGGTGAGCTCCTGTTCCACGAAGATGCAGTATTTGGCAAACAGTTTGGTCTCTAAAGGGTTTCGTTAAAAAAAGTTTCTAGTTCATATGCTACTATCAACAATATTTGGTATTTTCAAACCAAGGACGATATATCATGATACGCCTCTAATTGGAGGAATGATGTTCCAGGATTTGCATTTCTTTAAATGGGCTGTCATGAGCTTATAAGTGGACTACTGATACAGGAAGGCTCATAGTATTAGGAATACAGTGGTACCTCGGTTCACGAACTTAGTTCGTTCCACGATTCTGGTCGCGAACCGAATCAAATTTCCCCATAAGGTTCA